GAGGAAAGGCACCCACACTTTTATACTTTAAAAACCAGCCCATCCCAGTAGCCTAAAGCGAAAGTAAAGTAAAAAAAATACTTTTTGCGGGGAGGGAAGGAGGTTAACAATTGTATGGCTTTTTGTTGTTGTTGTTGTTGTTGTTGTGTGCCTCCAAGTCGTTTCCGACTTATGGCGACCCTATCCTTAGGTTTTCTTGACAAGGTTTGTTCAGAGGAGGTTTGCCTTTGCCGTCCTCTGAGGCTGAGAGAGTGTGACTTTCCCAAGGGATCCCATGGCCGGGTTGGGAATTGAATCCTGGTCTCCGGAGTTGTAGTCCAACACCCAAACCACCCTTTGGGAGCGATGGAAGGCGAAGATTTGGGGTCAGTTTTACCTCCATTAGGCTTGGAAACAGGGAAGAAGTCAAGGAAGCCAAATGCAAGCAACTCCGGGGAAAAATGAGCCCCGATTAAGGAGGGTTGCAGACTGCCAGAAATAGTGCAAGTTGAGTCCACTTTTAGGGTTAGGGTTAGTGCTAGGGAATCATGAGAATTTGGTGTTTTTTTTCTGAGACATTGAGCCTTCTCTGTCAGAGAGCTCTGGTGCCACAATAAATTACAGTTCCCATGATTCCCTAACCCTAACCCTAACCCTAAAAGTGGACTCAATTTGCACTATTTCTGTCAGTCTGTAACCCCCCCAAAATCTGTAGATGCTCTGAGGAGAGCATTTGAAACCAGAGGTGAAGAGATTGAATTTAAGGAGATCCATATGGGGTGGAGTAAGGGGGATTTACTTCGCAAGTCCTCTAGTTAGTCCCATGGGTTGTGTGCCTCCTAGCTGGGGCTTCCCAGTTATCCCAGTTACTCCCAGTTATGCTGGGCTCTGGACTTTTCCTCTGTCCCTTTACACAGATTGCCTCCAGGACTTTTCTCTGAGAATTTCCCGAGCAAGAGAAGCGCAGAATCTGACCATCCTCATCCTGCAAATGCTGTGAATGTGACACTTTTTTGGGTGTGTGTGTGTGTGTAGTCTTTTCTCAAGCTCTTGAAGTGCTTTTAGACATAAACTTTGGAATGGCCTGCCGGAGGAGATCCGCCTATTAACATCTTTAGACCACTTTAAAAAGGCGGTCAAGACGGATCTCTTCCGGCAGGCCTTCCCAGATTAGCTACATTAGACCTCTTTCCCTCCTCTGAGACAATCCTACGTGGCCCCATCAATTTGATGGGAGGAATGTTGACTAGGCTGGGATTTTCTAGGACAGGAGGGCTAATTATTGAATTAGAATTTCTATGATCTTAATATTTAAACTAATTTGTAATTTTAACTGAACGTTGGTTTTATTCTGTTTGATTTAATATTGTTTTAAGGGGGGGAGGGGGGGTATGCTGAATTGTATGTAGATGTTTCGTTTTATTGTAAGCCGCCCTGATTGGTTTTCCATTGGGCGGGGTAGAAATAAATTTTATTATTATTATTATTATTATTATTATAAACGAAGGGCAAAGAGAAAGAATGCAAACAACAGTGGGAAATAACGATAGTAACACTTCTTGGTTTTAAAGGCAGGTTATATTGCAGCTTCCACGCATCTCTTCTAAAGGGACTCGTCAACAAATTAATTCAGAAAGACTTTCCAAACTTTCCCTTGCAAAGCCGACATCTGTGCAATGCGATCAGGGTGTTTATTTGGAGATAGGTCCTGTGAATCTCGATGGGATCCGACTTCCCAGGAAGCTCCGAAATGGTCGTGCAAAAAGAAACGACATAAAAAGAGATTTCCTCTGCAAGGAAGATGTAGTATACTGACTGGGAGATTAGCTCCCAGGTGGAAAGAAATCTGATTAGCCTCCTAATCGATGGCCCTTTTATTAAGAAACAAAGTGGATCCTTACTTTACAAGTCTTTTTAGAAGCTACACTCGAGAAACGATCCCGAATAAATTGCAAGGCGAGTTTCTCCTAGGAAAAAAAAAAAACTTTTGCATTGGGGTTAATGCGGCCTTCCAACTATAACCAGACTGGCTTCATATCCCTATTGCCCTCAATAAACGTCAAAGCCTTCAACTCCTGTGGATTTTAATGGCTCCGGATTGCCTCACACACTCTGGCCGACCTTAAAGGCTTCAGTTTCGTTCATTTCGGGACCTGGATGCAAATGGCCCCTTTTTTGGGAGCCTAGGAAGAGCTAAAATGCACGGAAAGGTGCCTTCTCCCGCCTCTGATCAAGAGCCACTGACTTCCTTGGAAGTAAAGTAGAAACAGAAAATACTTTTTAAATGGACTTTTCCCCCAGTTTCTGAAAATATACGGGGGATCAGACTTGGTCCTCCTTTTCCAAGACGTGTCCTACATTTCCGCCTTCTGTCCAGGAGGCATTCCAAAGCGTCCTCCATTCTGAGCATGAATGAGAAGCGTGAAATTTATATTATTTATATGAGTGTCCTTAGCTTTTATATTTTTGTAATGTCCTACAGTTTTCCTTGAACGCCCTACCATTTTGAGCAGAACCAAGAAGCCTGAAATTTATATTTTTTTTCGTGAGTGATCTTACCTTTTTTTATATGTTGTAATGCCCCACCCTACATTTTTCTCGAATGTCCTCCATTTTGAGCACGACTAAGAAGCACGAATTTAATATTTATAAGAGTGTTCCTAGTTTTTAATGGGTCATTCCTCCATTTTTCTTGAATGTCCTCCATTTTTGGCATGACCGAGAAGCATTAATTAATATTTATGTGAATGTTCTTATGTTTTATTTTAGTAACATCTTACAGTTTTCCTTGAACGTCCTCCATATTGACCATGACTGAGAAGCATGGAATTTATATTTCTATGAGTGTTCTTAGCTTTTATAGGTTGTGATGTCCTCCATTTTTTCTCGAATGCCCTCCATTTTGAGCACGACTGAGAAGCATGAAATTTATATTTCTATGAGTGATCCTAGCTTTTATGTTGTAATGTCTTCCATTTTTACTGAACGCCCTCCATTTTGAGCATGACTAAGAAGCCTGAATTTAATATTTATGTGAGTCGTTTTAGCTTTTATTTGGGCAGGTCCTCCATTTTTCTGGAACGTCCTCCATTTTGCGGTGCCTTCTCCTCCTCCTTTGCGGTTATTAGGACATCGGCTGGTCACTCTGGGCAGGATGTTCTTGGTCATGATCCAGCTCCCTAGCAGCCCACTAACTCTTCCCCCATCCAAAACAATGATGATGATGATGATGATGATGATGATGATGATGATGATGATGATGATTAAAAAAAACCCCACACACTTGGCTTCCAAGGCAAGGGTTGCTAAAGCTAAGCCCTCGGCCTTTACTTGGGGGGCAGTCTAGCTGGTGAGAGAGAGAGAGAGAG